TGAACAAAATGAAAGTAATCTCAACTCAGACGATATTGAAAGAACAAATGAGAAGAATATTCACGGCAGAGAGAAGTACCAGAAATCTCAAAAGTCAACGGTAACAAGAAACCAGCGACGAGTTGATCATGATGATCACAATTACGCATTGAAGCGTACAAACAGTTATGGATTGCACGAATTGCGCAAAGCGCAAGTTAAAAATTTAAACAAAAGAAGACGGGTGATAAAAGATCCCCAAACTCATGTGAGAAGCAAACGTCAATATAAATATGACGAGAATACATTTCCAAAAGAGGAAATTGCCATGAAACACAGTACTCGTAGAAAACGTAGTTTATCAATGCAAAGACACGATAGAGAGTATTGTAACGCAGAATTATGCGTAATGAATCAAGAATACGAAGATTCGAGAAAATTGATAAGATACGATAAAAGTAACCGTTCGCAAGTCGCGAAGCGTGATACGCGTCAAATAGAAAACGCCCATAATCAATGTCAAGATTATAGAAAACGAGATTATAGAAGATTTAAAAGATTAAACATTCCTCGTGGTACAACCTACACGATTGAAAGAGGAACTTGTATAATGGATAACGTAGCGCAAATTATTCAACAGGAAAGTGTGAGAAAAGGTAAAGGCCAAAGAAGAATAATTTCCGGAAGATACCGTCAATACGAAAAAGACGAAGATGGTAATATCCGATGTATAGATCAAGCAGATTCCAACAATGGAAATAACTGTTTGGAATATTACGAATCTAACGAACAAGCGCCGAGGCGTGATAGACGTCGTAATCAAAGAAGAATCAAGTACGAATCGCAACAAAGCGAAGATGAATTCGCCGATTCGGAACGAGAAGAGGAGTACCAGACTAATTCCGAAGAAAATGAACAAGTTTCAGGAGAGGAGACTGATTATTACGAAGAGGCCAATAATTACCGAAATCCTAGAAGGAAAAGAAATAAAAATAAGAAAAGAAATACTCACCAATTGAATAAGACGTACATCGTGGAAGAACCCGAAGAGGAGGGACCCGATGAAGATGATGATCGACCTGAAACAGAAAAGGAAGAAGAATTAATAGATGGGGAGGAGTCGTGTTACGATTATGACAATGAATCGCAGGAACAAACTGCAAAACAAAGTCAAGAGGAAGAATACGAAGAGGAAAGGTACCGACTCAGATTCCGAAGGAAAGATAATCGCGTAGAAATACTGCGAACGCAGAAGATCATCGAAGAAATAGAACAAGAAATGAAGACAGAACAAAGGAAGAAAATTAAATCGCTACAGATTCCAATGATCGAAGTAAATTTCGAGAAAATAAACGAAATCGCTTTAATTGATACGGGAGCGCAAGTATCAGCGATAACAAAAACATTC